ACATTTGGTGAGCACAAACTACATGACATGGTGACTCAAACTTCTTCTGAGGGAAATTTGCTCTGCAGGCAAGCAAGAAGCACAAAAACACAGAAAACACCATCACAGTCCATCACATCTGGACACCACACTAATATGGACAGCACACAAGAGCGGAGAAAACAAATGCAAAACAACCTTCAAAATTTGAGTTCAGTACAGCAATGGCTTGTGTTATGAAGGAGTTTTTTTTTATCCTGTTGGCAGTCTAAATCTCCTGCAAGAGGGTAGGAGCTCAAACTCAGCATGGAGGGGATGATCAGGGCCCTGAATGATATCCCGAGTCTTAGAGTGCACCCTCCTGCAAAAGATTGTAGGCAGATCAGCTAGTATGACACCAGTGATTTTACTGGTAACTTTAACAATGTGTCCTAACCTTTTCTTTATCTCCTAATGAGAGGCTGCCAAACCAGGAGACGATGGCAAAGGTCAGGACAGATGCAACCATGGAGTGACAAAACACTGACATTAGTTTGCTGCACACCCCAAACTGATTCAGCTTACGGAGGAAGTGCAGTCACTACATGTCTGTGTTTTCATTAAAAGACAGCTTATTGTCAACAGCGATCTCAGAGTACTTGTGGAAATGTGGATGCATCCTTATATACACACTTAGAGCAATTTTCTCTGGCTCTAACACTACATATATTAAAAAATGTTGCCCCCTGCTGGAGCTACCCAATCACTTGGATCTGCAGGAAACAATTTTGTCTGTCCTTATTAAACTTCACAGCTCTTGGAATTACATTTCTGGCGATACTGAATTGTTAAAATGGTTTCCCAGTTAACACAGCATTTTGAAAAGGAAATGTTCAGGTTTGAAGACATATAAAATTCAACACGCTTTCTGTATTTTGCCTGAACCGAAACACACCGACCCGGTTTGTCACATAAACACTACAAGCACCAGGGGTTTTGGTGTTTCCAAGCCTGATGGGGGAAAAGATGAACCTCCTTTTGTTTATCCACGAAGGTCACACATTAGCTCATGTTCTCTACGAAGCACAGTTCATTTCAACACTGAATTATGGACACGATGTGATCAGACGTACAGTTGATGCCTCCCATGAGGCCGATATTTAAAGGCCCCTCCTCAGTCTGCTGCATTGTTTGAGTGTCACATAATCCTCACATTCAGGATTGTGGTGCGAGCAAAGCTATACAGAACAGGTCACTCTGAATGGAAATATGAATGTTGACATATCTCAGTTTCATCCCTTTGAGGCGTGAATCTTGTTTGAATGGGTTCGTCACAAATTGGGACAATAGTGCTGCTCTTCAGTTTCATTCTGCACAGACTCCATCCATCCATCATCTA